TTCAAGTCTTTATATTAATGACTGAAACAGCTATACAGTACAACGTGGTTACTCCAAAGCTACAGATGATTAGAAGCTAGTCCGATAAAATGTGCATGCCTACCACCTATCAGAGATATCACTAGATACTTCACTGCTACACTGTACATTTCTGCAACTACGTGGAAGAGACATACTTCGACACAGAAATCATTATTAAAATATTTACTACGTCGCAATAAACATTTATAGTAAATCTTAATACTGCTACAAAAAAAATTCAAGACGTTTAAGATAATCTCATATCCATTAGAAAAGCTATTTGCTCCCTCATTCCAGATTCGATCAAAGCTTGGTCCTAATTGAGTCCGAATATCTATTATCAATCTGTGTAATGGCGACTAGTGACTTAATAGAGCCAGAGCAAGTCGGGTATCAAATCATTATTGCTGAAACTAACAGGATCCTTATCGTGGGCCATAACTACGGGTTATAGTGTTATTGAATTACGTCAAGTGGAGATCCTCTTGTAATTGCCAATATAATGCCCGAATAGTTGACAAGATTAGGTTACTCGGACTGTATTTTGGTAAAGCAATTTAAACCGACAATAAAACACCAATTTCATTAGGTAGTTGTTTAAGTTATACATATGCTTCTTACTGGTTAAAATGTAATTTAAAGTAGTGTTAGCGAAAATTATGTATGCCTTTATAGCAAAACTAGATTTTATTTTTTTTTATTTGTGAGAATAATAACCCAAGGACAACTTATTCGATTAGTTTTTACTCGACCTTTCTATTAACGTCTCTGCTCAGATCCATAGGTAAAGCAAAAATGCATTCCTACGGGACTGCTCACATAATATTATCTAATAGACTAGCCGGTATTGACAGATTTTGTGCAACGTTTTTTTATTATATTTATCTTTTAAGTTATGATTATGATAGGTAGTTTTTAACATGGTCTATGCTAGTATGCAGCGGCTTACCAAGCGACTTTGAATTTCTTATTAAAAAAGTATAATTCCGAACGATTAGTAAATGCATGCAAATCGTTTTTTCTTAAAATTTAAAAACATATACTACGAAAAATATTCTGCATACGCCTCCTTAGTGTAGTACGTTCCCTAATTGTTAATTGAACATTATTTTTATTTATTGCCACCGTTTGGCGCCAAAATGTAACGTGACTAACGTGACAAAAGTGTGGTTGTCCAGATGTCAACCTTGTGGTTCCGGTTCACTCTAGTGGAGATGTAAGTGAGAGATTACTTTGTAATCTAGCAAAAATATTATATTTTAGAAAAATAAAGATTAAAAAAACTCAAAATCAATACATCAGTTTTTTATTCTTTTTTTAGGTAAACTAACCACATTTGAGATATGAATAGCTTATCATTTCCAAGATTTTAAACGTTAAGTTGGTGGCCGGTGATCTATTGAGGCTCCATAAATTCAGATTTTCGATTTTACGATTTTTCGATTTTTCGATTTTTCGATTTTTCGATTTTTCGATTTTTCGATTTTTTGATTTTTCGATTTTTCGATTTTTCGATTTTTCGATTTTTCGATTTTTCGATTTTTCGATTTTTCGATTTTTCGATTTTTTTCGATTTTTCGATTTTTCGATTTTTCGATTTTTCGATTTTTCGATTTTTCGATTTTTCGATTTTTCGATTTTTTGATTTTTCGATTTTTCGATTTTTCGATTTTTCGATTTTTCGATTTTTCGATTTTTCGATTTTTCGATTTTTCGATTTTTTGATTTTTCGATTTTTCGATTTTTCGATTTTTCGATTTTTCGATTTTTCGATTTTTCGATTTTTCGATTTTTCGATTTTTCGATTTTTCGATTTTTCGATTTTTCGATTTTTCGATTTTTCGATTTTTCGATTTTTCGATTTTTCGATTTTTCGATTTTTCGATTTTTCGATTTTTCGATTTTTCGATTTTTCGATTTTTCGATTTTTCGATTTTTCGATTTTTCGATTTTTCGATTTTTCGATTTTTCGATTTTTCGATTTTTCGATTTTTCGATTTTTCGATTTTTCGATTTTTCGATTTTTCGATTTTTCGATTTTTCGATTTTTCGATTTTTCGATTTTTTGATTTTTCGATTTTTCGATTTTTCGATTTTTCGATTTTTCGATTTTTCGATTTTTCGATTTTTCGATTTTTCGATTTTTCCATTTTTCGATTTTTCGATTTTTCGATTTTTCGATTTTTCGATTTTTCGATTTTTCGATTTTTCGATTTTTCGATTTTTCGATTTTTCGATTTTTCGATTTTTCGATTTTTCGATTTTTCGATTTTTCGATTTTTCGATTTTTCGATTTTTCGATTTTTCGATTTTTCGATTTTTCGATTTTTCGATTTTTCGATTTTTCGATTTTTCGATTTTTCGATTTTTCGATTTTTCGATTTTACCATGTGTATACTGCTGATGAATGCCTATTTTTCATTCTAGAGGTTGATACGACAAAAAATATTTTTGATGTGAGATCAAAGAAACCTGAAAGTACTGTTGTTGAGAATTATTGTGAAAACAGTTTTTTGCCAACTTCATCACGGCTTGATAAAGGTATTTATGAAAAGTTATTAATTTATAGCCATCCACAAAACTACCCAGGTAGCAATAAATATTGGCCTGCTATAGAAAGTCAATATTGCCCCAAGATTACAATGTTGGCTTGACAAACTATTTTAATATTGGCTGCGCATCAAAGTGCTAACGCTTGAAAAACGAGGGCCAACGTTATATTCAAACATTAATTTAATATATTTTTTCGATAAAATGCCAATATAAGTAAACAAAGTTGGATGAAGATTAACGTGTATTTTGAATACAATATAGAAATTATGCCGCACGACAAACAAAACTCAATATTGAGTTTCATCATTGGTCCTATATTTGTCTTTAATTTTGCACCTACATTGTTCTACAATATTGGTTTAAATTATGCATTCATTTTAAAAGCAATGTTAGGTTAAAAACGTATTTAAATATTGGCTGCGGATCAAAGTGCTAACGCCTGAAAAACAAGGGCCAACGTTGTATTGAAACATTTATCCAATATATATTTCAATAAATCGCCAATATAAGTAAACAATATTGAGCTGATATTAAAGTGTAGATTGGGTACAATACAGAAATTATACTGCAGTACAAACCAAATTCAATATTCTTTTTCAATATTGGTCCCATTTTATGCCATCATTATCATACAATATTGGTTTTCAATTTGATACCAATATCGGCAAATTTATGTACAACAGGTTAGGTCCAATTTTACTATTATTAGTCTACATTGTCATACTATATTGGTATGAAATAAATACTGGAATCTAGTTTGAAACCCATTTTGCCATTTAGTTTATTACCAATATTGGCATTGAATATTAATTATCAAACCTTTCCACAAATATTCCTGGGATCGATTTGAACAAAAAAGTAAAATACTATTTTTTCACGGAGCGTATAATGTCATTACATATTTGTTTGTAGGATAACGCTATGTAAACTGAGCCAAGTATGCATTTTATACTTATTTATTCTGGCCAAATACTCAATGAAAAACGCTATTTTTACATGTTTGTTTATGTTGATCCCAGAAGCCCTTTTTTCCTTATTTTACTGGACTATACAGTTTTTAAAAGCCATTTTTAAAGATTTCAATGATTGCATGTGGACGTGAATAGTATAAGAGTTATAATAATAAAAAAACAATTATAAAACTTTATAAAAAAGTTTAATATTACTTAAAAAAAAGGACCAATACATATTAATATTACAATAACATTAGGCAAAACAAGGAGTTAAAATTTTTTTATACAAAATACATGTGATGAAAGATCGGAAGAACTGAAAATTAAAAAAATTTACCTTAATTATACTTCAGGATGCAGTAGAAACACCACAAAGAACTCATTATTTTCAAGATTAAATATCAATTATTTTACATTAATTTCTTTAACAGAAACCCTTTCCAATGTTTGTATGTGATGACATGAACTTTAAAATACTCAAATCTCTTAAGTCAATTGCTAACTCATCAGGGAAATAGTTTATGGGATTTTTATAGCAATGGCCTCCTAGAAAAACATTACTTTCAGTTTGTATGGCTTGGGTAATTTATTATTTTTTTATTTTTTAGAACAATGTTATCAATGTTCTGTTTTTAGAACAATTATTATTGGAAAGAATATCTGAATTAACAGATTTGTCAGTCATAATATGTTCATTAGAAAATATTGATACATTTGATATATTGGATATATTTGTATTAACAGAGGTGTGAGATTTCTGTTCATTATGACATACTGACGTTCCTATTGATCTGTACCTTGTTCACTGAAACATATTGACGTACTTGTATTGGACATTTCAGGCGAAGTGAGAAGTGCTGTTTGACCACCTTGTTAATTCTTCGGTACTTAACTGCACGATGCGATGCCATCATTGTCTGGAATTTTTGAGTTCTGAAATTGATATTTTTTTAGTCAATGATATAAAAGTTATTTGAGTTTAACATTATTTATGTGAGGTTTAAGCCCTGCTTCGTGTAAAACTAATACATATATACGTATATTTTTAAAGATACAAAAAATACAAATTGTTTTTTACTTTCTGTATAGGAAACTCTTTACATACAGGTTGCTTGTAATGTCATTTTCTATAATTTTTGTTCTATACATAATTTCCCTAAAATGGACCGTATTCGAGAAATTTGATAAAAAGTGTAAAATTCAAATTTTTAAGAAAATTGTTAAAATAAAAGTTGTTCTGACGTCATTTTCTATAATTTTTGTCCCATACACGATTTTCCTAAAATGGGCCGTATTCGAGGAGAAATTTGAGGAAAAGTGTAAAAAAAACAAGCATATTTATAACTTTAGGTATGACACATCAGATTTTTAGAATAACATTTTAGGTTTAGAAACATATAAAAAAAAATAAAAAATACCTATAATAATTTCATAAAAATTGGAAAATATTTTTGTTAAGAATCCTAAAAGATTATGGAAATCCAGAGATACATGGAAAAATCCGAAAGTGGCATCACTGTCCTAAATATTACCATAGGGTACTTAAGTATGTATTTTTTGATAAAACCTACTTTAATCTTCATACATTTATTAAGGTTCACGGTTCGAATCAATATTGGTCCAAGACAATCATGACATTGGCCTAATATTGGTAATCATTTCGAAATGCAGTCGATTAATTCGGTTGTTTGTTAATAAACAGAAAAACATTCTACTTACAATTTTTCTTTCAATCCAAAATCCAGATGAAGAAGTACTTCTCAATAATTCAGAAAACTCTTTAAATAAAAAAACAAACAATTAGCTACCCTTAAATTTCAAAGAAAATGTGTGGAAATATAAAGTATTAACGGTAATCCGGCATTTTACATCATGGCGTGTTACATATTTTAATTAATAGGAAAAAGACTACATCAGTTTTTATGTGAAAGGTTCTTAAAAATGTTTAAACAAAATAACTTTTTTTGGAGTGAGGGTAGCCATATGTGAGTATACTGATCTTTTTTCTGAATAGTAATAATAAATGTTTTTTGTTTCATTATAGAGGTTGACACAACAAATATTTTTGATGTGGGACCAAATGGACCTGATGATGGTATTGCTTTTTGCCAAGTTCATCGCAACTCTATTAAGGTATTTATGAAAAGGTATTAATTTATAGCCGCCCGCAATAGTCTGCCAATGTTTGCTTTATTTACTAATATTGAATGTTTAATCTAGCGGTTGATACAACAAATGTTTTTGATGAGGGACAACCACATAGACGTGAAGGTAAAAATGACACACCTTGTGATGAGAACATAAATGAGTTTAATGGTGATTTCAGCTCGGATGACAGTGTTGCAGATCCGTGCTTTCAACCCCCCCATAAGTAGTAGCAGTTCAAACGAAAATACTGAAAATAATAATTCTGTAGTTGCTCCTGATCCCACAGCTCCTGCCAACCAACCGCTCCAATCCTCGAGACTCTAGAAAACAAAGAGAACCCAGAAAAATGTTAAGAAATATGGGAAAAGAATATACCACAAAAAAGTGTAAAGTTATAAAAGAACGCGTAATGAGACCTCTTCCACTCTGCCGCTCGAAGTGCAAAGACAAAATTCCGGAGGATGATAGAAATAAGCTTTTTCACCAGTACTGGAGTCTTGATGACTATGATAAGAGATTCGCCTATATTTCCAGTCTTTTTGTGATTGAAAACAAGAAAGCTACCAGACCACGAATAGAGGATCCAGAGAAGTAGAAATTTCGTTTCAAAACATATATTTACTACATACAGTTAACAAATCAGAGAATTACTGTATGTAGAAAGTGTTCTCTGACAGTTTTTGATGAAAGTGACAACTTTATAAAAACACTTGCTAAAAAGAAAATTTCAGATAGAGGAATGGACACTTCATCTAACCAAGAACAGTGTCCAGCTGTCAATAAATGGACTGAAGAAAAACTGTTAGAAGTACACAACCATATACTGAGTTTTCCATTCTATGAAAGCCATTATGCACGTGCCCGTGTAAATGACAAAAAATATCTACCCACTTAACCAAACCTTACCAACTTTATACTGAATGTACTCCAGAACCAGTTTCATTCAAATATTATTCTAAAGAATTTTAAAAATTAAAATTGTCATTTAAAAAGCCAAAACAAGATACATGCCACAGGTGTGATAAATATGAAATGCTAATAAAAAATCTTGAAGGTGTCAACAAGCAAGAAGTCATTCAAGAAAAAATACACACCATGAAAGTACGGAGGCGGCATACATAATTAAAAGAGAAGATAAAGTTAGTGCACGAGAAAATGATTCAAAAAAATTTTTCACTTTCGATTTACAGCAGTGCCTCCCCACACCAGCTCTCAATACGTCAGTTGCCTTTTATAAGAGACAACTATGGATGTTTAATCTCACTTTACAAGATGAGTTTGGCATTACACTCAATTGTATGTGAGATGAATCTACAGCTAAACGTGGTGCAAATGATATTGGCTCTTGTTTATTTAGAACATTACTAGAATTGCCACTACAGATTTCCCATTTGGTTTTTTATTCCGATACCTGCGGGGGTCAAAATAAGAATAGTTACGTGGTAGCCATGTTTTTTTACTTAATGCAGAAAAATCCAGCATTAAAATCATAGACCACAAGTTTATGATGCCTGGGTATAGCCATATGGAAGTAGACGTTGCCCATTCAATGATTGAGAAGCAAAAACGAAAATCTGAAGCTGTCGTATAATAATAATAATAATAATAATAATAATAATAATAATATCTTTATTAGTACTAGCCAATACTGCCATCATAGATGGATGTACACGTCAACATTAATAAATAAAATTTTAAATAAAATTAAAATTACATTACACTGAACACATACGTTAAAACTAATAGTTAAACACGAATCAAAATATTTTTTAAAGACTATATTCAGACAAAAAATCGTTAACAGAATAAAAGGAACCACGAGTAATAATAGTTTTTACATTAGATTTGAATTTAGTGTAAGATAGTGCTTGAATATTTTTAGGTAATTTATTAAAGACTTTATGCCTATATATTGCGGTGACTTTTCAAACAAAGCTAGTCTATCTTGGACCGAAATAAACGTGTTTGCATTTCTGGTGGGATATCTGTGAAAATCGGAAAATTTTTTTTGAATTTGTGTAAGTTAGACTTTACATACAGAAGTGTTTTATAAATATAAATGCATGGTAACGGAAGAATTTTATGTTTTATGAACATTTGCTTACAGCTTTCCCCTGCCTGAATTCCAAATAATATGCGTATAATGCGCTTTTGTTTAACAAAAACTTTGTTAGACGTTACACAGTCTCCCCATAAACTAACATTATTTGATAGGTGAGGGTAAACTAAGGAAAAGTAAATATTTAATAATGATTTTTGGTCCATAGTCTTCTTTAATTGCAATATGGCATAAAAAGCAGAGTTAAGCTTTTTACATACTTGATCAACATGTGAATCCCATGATAAAAATTGGTCAACATAAACTCCCAAAAATTTCGTTTTTACTTCATGTGTAATTGATGGGACTGCTATAGGTAAGCTATTTTTGACGCATCTAAAATTTACATAAACGGATTTATCAATATTAAGAATTAAGGAATTATTTTGACACCATGTTTCAAATAGATTTACTATACAATTAAGTGTATGTTGAAGTTCTTCAGCGGTCCGAGCTGATACCACCACTGACGAGTCATCGGCAAACATTAAAACTGATCCGCCATTTAAATACTGAGGTAAATCATTTACAAAAATAATAAATATTAGTGGTCCCAGCACCGATCCCTGAGGAACCCCAATATTAGTGGTATATATTTCAGATTTTTTCTTATTTAATCTTCGATACAATAGTCTATTACTATTGAAAGATATTCCTATTTATCATAAAAGTAAATTAATTTACTGTTAATACGCCTACAAATAATCATGCAAACTAACGAAAAATTCACATGGTTTCATATAGGATTCGAAACACTGCCCTCCTTACTTCTGAATCCCAGGTAACTGAAATCCTGGCGATTGACATGCTGCTCCTATTTGCTTTAAAAGTTTATTTTTCAAACTTTTGTAATATTGTAAGCCAGTCATCAATAAAAATAAGAAAGAAAAGCATTTATCTTTTTATTATCAAAAGAAGCAATTCACAAGTAACAAAAGAAAATAGCCGAAGGTTAAAAATACAAAATTGTTGCAAACGTTCAGAAAAAACTTTTTTAAGCCTATCGCATGGAAATTATATGATTTTAAAATGAAATTGCTTCTTTTAAAATGAAAGAGTAAATTGAATTTCTTCTAGTTATCAAGAAAATAGAAATCAAGGGAACTTCAACTTAAAAACGAACTTTATAAATTTAGTCCCATAATATGACTGTAAAGTAGACCTAAGTCGCTTTTAAAGTTAAAAGTTTAAAATTATGCATTTTAGTCGATAAAAGTTTTATTCAAAGAAAGTTTGAGTAAACTAATTCGTAAAATCACTTTTAATAAATCCTTTAATAGAGACTATTTACTCGACTTAGTAATTATATATTAATTATTCTTTTATTTACTGATGTCAATGCCTTAGATTAAGGATTCCTGTAACATGGAAACTAGATATCCAATGAATATTAAATAACATGTGTAGATCTAAAGCTAAAGCACATTCCAGATATAGGTGATTACGAATTAATTTTATTACTACATCACCAGGACGCTAGATATACATATAATGCTCTGGTGGTCTAGTTGCTATATTAGAACGGGAATCCTGAGTTCGCTGGTTCGAGCTCCATCCGGAGCATAATTGTTTCAATTTTTTTAATTTTTCTCGGATTGTTATTCCTCCTTATTATTAAATGTATAGTAAAAAAATAATCGGTACCTTATTATTGCCATCCCCAAGATAACTGCTGTGTTTGACACAGATATATTTTACAACATTAATCCTAAAATCTCGTTTAGTTTCGGCTCGTGCGAATAATAGTACATTATATACCTAGGGTGAGAAGTGAGCTATTATTTACCGAGCACTTTTATATCCTGAGGCGCGTAGCGCCGAGGGATATAATGTGCGAGGTAAATAATAGCTTTCTCAGCCGAGGTATATATAGAATTTTTTTTACTAATAACATTAATATATTAGCAATTTTAATTTTGACATAAGTAATTTCCTAACAATTTGTTAAATATTTCGAAATATCAAGCAGACTGGAGCGTGTTTCTAATCAGACTGGCTTTATTTATGTAAAAATTTGGCATGTGTCAAATTTTGGTATGTTTCTAGGAAATATCCCATTCCATTTTTGATATTTTAATGACATGGATTTATTGGTATTAATTAATAATTTTTGAAGCCGGTGTTGAATTTCCTAGTTAATATATATTTTTACTGTTTACACTGATATATATTATCATATTTGATTTGATTAGATTTGATAAATCCAGCTTTAGTTATTTCCTACTTATTTTTCAAATATTTCAAAATATCAAGTAGTCTGGGAGTTTGGTTGTCAAATTAACAAAATGAAACTAATGAAATTTAGTTTCATTATTTACCTAGGTTTTTTTTTATTATCATTATTTACCTAGGGTGAGAAATATTACTTCTCATTAGAGGAATGGAGTAAATAATGGTGCTTTCTCATGTTAGTAGTAAAAAAATTATATTATTTATTGATTTAGATAGTTCCTTTTGGAATAAATCTATAATTCAACTATCTGACAGATACCGGAGAGAAATGTAGAATGGCAAAAATTTCCAATTGATGACGTTAAAAGGTGTACGCAATGTAACTTTTTAAGATAGTAAAATACCATTTAGAATTGAATGCAATGGTATAGGTTCCAAAATTTATTTTTATGATGTGGACAATGGGGCATGTTCAAAAATTTTGAATTTTTTTTATGAATAATAGAGTTCAAAATAAAGCTACATTTAAAATTTTTTTTTATCTATTCATTTGCCCGAGTTATTAATTTTTTAAAATTTATGCTGTCACCGGGAATAGACCAATAGGAACTAGCCACACAACGTTGCCAGTTAGACGGTATATGGTCTTACTTTTAGACTTCTAAAATATCGTTAAACAAATATCTTTTAAATATAAAATATCAAATGTTTTTAAAAGTATTATTTATGTTTAAACTTTCACCATATTTATAGTTTCATTGTTTTAAAAAACGACAATCAATAAACAAGAAAATGGAAATGCGGCAGCACTGCATGTGTCATCTGTGACTCAGTCATTTTTGTGTTGTTGTCAATCGATAAATGCAATTTTGATGTTTTTATAAATATTGTGATTTTGAAAAAAATGTTTCCTCCAAAGATGTGATTATGATTTACATTTTACATTCATTATTAAAAATATTTATTAGTGTTGCTAAAAATATGAAAAGACGAAAATTATTGTCATTACACAGAAAGGCTTCAAGGAACAGCTAAATTATTTTGTTGAGTTTTGTATCTATAATCTTTATTAAAATAAAAATGTTTTATTGTAATTTAATTATTCAATTATCTACCATTGTAGTAACGATTTTTTTTTCTTTCTTTTTTAGATAGGTACCAGATGATTTTGAAAGCTGTTCATTTTTTAAATGATGGATAAACCTTTACACATAAGAAGTGGGTAGTACCACACAAATGTCTCCACATTTCTTGTTATTCACCACGAGCTCACTGATTCTGCCAAAAATAGAAAAACAGAAAACAAAAAAATGTTGACTGGAAAA